ATGTAAATGCGTATTTGCTGAATGCTGATGGCAAACAAGAAAGTATTATAATGTTTGCCTTTCTATTACTAATAATATAAAAGCAATCGTTATAATACTTTTTGTATACATTATAATTCCTTTGTTTAACCGTTCTATCTGATTATTAGACAGACTTCTATCCATATTAGACAGAACTGTTGACGACGATGGCGAACAAGAGGGAGAATGGGAGCACTGTGTGCTCAGGTGCTGCCGCTGTCAGCACCGTCAAAATAAAAGTCCCGCCTCGAACGCATCGGCCAAACAGGAAAACTTATCGGCCGATGCCGATATTTAAAAAATGCCAAATATCGGCCGATATATCGGCCTTGGCAATATATCGGTCGACCACTAGTCAAGAATATGGAGAGATGACTGACAAGACCATGCTGGAGTATTTGCTGCTTAACAGATCCTGAGCTCACTGACAAATATCTTATCTTGCAAGATGTGCTCCCTTTACACAGAGTGCGTGTGACCGCGAAATCGAAAGTGAAAGTGAACAGCGCGAGTGCTCATTCAAAAGGCATTTAAATACTCTGCATACTGAGAGCAGGCGGCAATGGTCATAAATTCAGCGGGAGCGGGATAAAGAAAACAGCCGAATCCCGGACATTTTGGTCGAATAAGAAATCCCGGCCGGGGGCATTTTTTTTAGGTCCAAAAAGAGGACATGTCCGGGGAAAAGAGGAGAAACAGCATTGTACCCCCGTTTTAAGATTTGGGGCCAGCTTTACTAAACAGGGCAAATTAGCGCGAGAGTGCAATTCCAAAACAGCGCCGATGGGCGTGGAAATTTCTGCGGGTGATTTACTAACAACGCGCAAATGAAAGAACACAGGCACAACATCTCATTTACATACTGACCAACGCAATATAACACGCACAGCGCAAATTAGCGTAGTCGCGAATAAACAATAAAGAAATAAATAAGCTACAGTACGTTTAAAAGAACCGGAGGCCAAAAAATGAAGGGTTGCAACAGTTTTGATGAGGTATGAGGTATTGCGTGACTCCTAGATGAGGGTTCCAAGTCGTCTTTTATTTCCTGAAGCAAATTAAAAATAACATGGCTTGGCAAACGATATGTTCGGATAATGTGCTTTTTCCAAATAAATTAATACGTGTGGATGCTCTCTGTTCTTTGTGGTGCCTCCTCCTAGCAACAAATTGCATCCATTTCAAGTGCAGAATAGTTTAAGACATGCTTTTTTGGGGTGTTAAATAATGGCGCAAATGGAAGTAATTTGACAAGTGCAAAACGTTAGTAAATCTCGTTGCGTGATTCATTTGAATACTCTCCTCCCATATATTTTGCGTCTTAAAGAGAAACTCCTAGAAATGCATATTCAATAAGGTCAGGCACAAAAATGGCAAAAAAGGTCAGGCGCAAAAGTGTTCACAGCGCTAATTTGTTACTGCGCGTCTTTAGTAAAACCTGACAGTACTATTTTAACGCCAAAAGACGGTTTGCGCTGGCGCAAGCTGTTAGTAAAACTGGCTCTTAGGCTTGAAATACACTTCATGCAAGTATGCAAATACAGATACATTGCCTTACAAACTAGAGTTTATTTTGCATGCATTTAAACACATCACAAGGACATAGAGGAAAAATGCAAGGGTTTGCGTAAGTAATGCTCTGCCTTGTGACTAAAAATGGCATCTAATGTAGACCAATTAGAAATTCAAAGAAGCAGTTCTAGCTGTGCTTCTGCTTGATTTTCAAACTTTCCATAAAATTAAAATGCATCATACACTCAATTAATTGCCTTGTGCATCTGTGTTCACATACTTGCGACTACATTTCGGGCTTAATATTCAAACAATGTCTTCCCACTATATATAACTGCTGGCTTCAAATCCCAAATATTCAATATTTGAAACAGTGTCATATTTAAAAAATTAGTTTCTTCCTGGTTATTTTTGTCTTGTTTTCCAGTACAAATATCTAAACTTTCAAACATCAGCAAAGATTTACTTCTGATGCAAAATAAAGTGAGTTTATGATTAAAACAAGAAAAATAAAAACATAATTTAATCGGAAATCAAGCCTAATCTTCTTACTCTACTGGCAGATATTTTGTCTTGTTTTCAGCAAAAACTTGCTTAATTTTTATGAGAAGTCTTATTTTCTGAAAAATGTATCACATGTTTTTGCTGAAAACAAGAAAAAAATCTACAAATGGGCTAAGAAAATAAACTTGTTTTCTCTTTGAATAAATTGGCAGATATTTATGGAAGCCCATTCTATCTGATTATTAGACAGACTTCTATCCGTATTAGACAGAACTGTTATGACAACAGCGAACAAGAAGGAGAATGTAAGCGCTGTCTTCTCAGGCGCAGCCGCTCTCAGTACCGTCAAAATAAAAGTCCCGCCTCGAACGCATCGGCCAAACAGGAAAACTTATCGGCCGATGCCGATATTTAAAAAATGCCAAATATCGGCCGATATATCGGCCTTGGCAATATATCGGTCGACCACTAGTCAAGAATATGGAGAGATGACTGACAAGACCATGCTGGAGTATTTGCTGCTTAACAGATCCTGAGCTCACTGACAAATATCTTATCTTGCAAGATGTGCTCCCTTTACACAGAGTGCGTGTGACCGCGAAATCGAAAGTGAAAGTGAACAGCGCGAGTGCTCATTCAAAAGGCATTTAAATACTCTGCATACTGAGAGCAGGCGGCAATGGTCATAAATTCAGCGGGAGCGGGATAAAGAAAACAGCCGAATCCCGGACATTTTGGTCGAATAAGAAATCCCGGCCGGGGGCATTTTTTTTAGGTCCAAAAAGAGGACATGTCCGGGGAAAAGAGGACGTATGGTCACCCTAAGCTACAGTACGTTGAAAAGAACCGGAGGCCAAAAAATGAAGGGTTGCAACAGTTTTGATGAGGTATGAGGTATTGCGTGACTCCTAGATGAGGGTTCCAAGTCGTCTTTTATTTCCTGAAGCAAATTAAAAATAACATGGCTTGGCAAACGATATGTTCGGATAATGTGCTTTTTCCAAATAAATTAATACGTGTGGATGCTCTCTGTTCTTTGTGGTGCCTCCTCCTAGCAACAAATTGCATCCATTTCAAGTGCAAAATAGTTTAAGACATGCTTTTTTGGGGTGTTAAATAATGGCGCAAATGGAAGTAATTTGACAAGTGCAAAACGTTAGTAAATCTCGTTGCGTGATTCATTTGAATACTCTCCTCCCATATATTTTGCGTCTTAAAGAGAAACTCCTAGAAATGCATATTCAATAAGGTCAGGCACAAAAATGGCAAAAAAGGTCAGGCGCAAAAGTGTTCACAGCGCTAATTTGTTACTGCGCGTCTTTAGTAAAACCTGACAGTACTATTTTAACGCCAAAAGACGGTTTGCGCTGGCGCAAGCTGTTAGTAAAACTGGCTCTTAGGCTTGAAATACACTTCATGCAAGTATGCAAATACAGATACATTGCCTTACAAACTAGAGTTTATTTTGCATGCATTTAAACACATCACAAGGACATAGAGGAAAAATGCAAGGGTTTGCGTAAGTAATGCTCTGCCTTGTGACTAAAAATGGCATCTAATGTAGACCAATTAGAAATTCAAAGAAGCAGTTCTAGCTGTGCTTCTGCTTGATTTTCAAACTTTCCATAAAATTAAAATGCATCATACACTCAATTAATTGCCTTGTGCATCTGTGTTCACATACTTGCGACTACATTTCGGGCTTAATATTCAAACAATGTCTTCCCACTATATATAACTGCTGGCTTCAAATCCCAAATATTCAATATTTGAAACAGTGTCATATTTAAAAAATTAGTTTCTTCCTGGTTATTTTTGTCTTGTTTTCCAGTACAAATATCTAAACTTTCAAATATCAGCAAAGATTTACTTCTGATGCAAAATAAAGTGAGTTTATGATTAAAACAAGAAAAATAAAAACATAATTTAATCGGAAATCAAGCCTAATCTTCTTACTCCACTGGCAGATATTTTGTCTTGTTTTCAGCAAAAACTTGCTTAATTTTTATGAGAAGTCTTATTTTCTGAAAAATGTATCACATATTTTTGCTGAAAACAAGAAAAAAATCTACAAATGGGCTAAGAAAATAAACTTGTTTTCTCTTTGAATAAATTGGCAGATATTTATGGAAGCCCATTTCTGCCACTGAAAAAAAAGGTAAGTGCGACTTTTTATCTCACAATTCTGACATTTTTTCTCGCAAATGCGATTTTTGTGAGACAATTGCGACTTTACATCTCACAATTCTGTCTTTTTTCGCAGTCATAAAATCAGAATTGCAAGACAAACTCACAATTCTGAGGAATAAAGTCAGAATTGTGCGATATAAACTCACAATTGTGTTATAAAGTCAGAATTGCAAGACATTGCAAGACTCTTTGTATCTCACAATGGCGACTTTATTATAAACTCACAATTGACTTTCTCAAAAATTTTTTCACAATTGCGACTTTATATCATGCAATTCTGACTTTATAACTCTCAATTGCGAGTTTATAAGATGCAATTCTGAAAAAGTCGCAAGATTATTTACTTTTTTATTTTTAATTCAGTGGTGGAAAAAAATGTACTTAAAATTGTCCTTGATCTAAGAAAGTTTATACTGGAGAACAAGACAAAAACTCTGAGAAAGAGCACCATTTTTGCAGTCTGCAATGCTACAGTATCACCCGTGTAATATTCATAAACATAAATGAGTACATAAAACAAAAGGTCTCACCAAATCACTGGCCAACGCTTGTTTTCGGTTCTTTCCATCGTAATCACAGTAGTCGATAAAGTCTAAGTAAGCGTCTGCAAAGTAAAGCAGGTTGTTGGGGTAGTCAATAGTTAAGCCATTGGGCCAATAAAGTTTGTTGCTGATGATCGTGGTCCTTAATTTCCCATCCATGCTGGCTCTCTCGATACGAGGATTTCTGCCCCAGTCTGTCCAAAACATCAGGTGTGTGCTGAAATACATAAAAATGGATTTCGTTTTCAACCTCTGGTCATTCAAATTCATTTTCATATACATGTTATTTGGTCACTGATCTTACTTGTTTCTAGGGTCCACTACCAGACCTCTTGGATTGGTCACGTTTTCACTAATCAGCACCGTTCTGTGAGACCCGTCCAGTTTGGACACCTCTATAGTCTCCAAAATATAGTCCGTCCAGTATAGGTTTCTGCCAACCCAGTCGACGGCGAGACTCTCGGTAACGGTCACTCCACTGTCAAAGATCTGCCCGGGAAGACAAATGATATTTTAGGGTTAAATGTTGGTCATGTTGACTGTAAAGGTCTTTGCACACTGAGTCCGAAATTCCCGTTCGAAATTTTCGCACATTAAAAAATAAATACGTACGGAGCCCCGCACATGACATGCAAGATAAAATAAATAAATCTAAAACGAATTCGTTCCCTCGTTGTACTAAAACGTGCACACGATTACTATTTCATTCCCTCGATTTGCTCATTCGTTCCCTCGATTTGCTAAATCGTGCACACAATTTACTAATTCGCTCTCTCGATATATAAATCGTGTGCACGATTTAGCAAATCAAGGGAACGAATTAGTAAATCGTGCGCACAATTTATAAATCGAGGAAACGAAATAGTAAATCGTGCGCACGATTTAGTCTACTATTTTTTTCCTGCATGCCATGTGCGGGGCTCCGTAAATACGAGCTCACGTTGTGTCAATCACGTTTACACACTGCCTCCTTTCGTCCGTCATAAAAAAATTTGGATCTGGTTCGATTTTCTGCGTTTTTGCATCCGTAGCAAGCATTTTGATGGGAAAGGATGACGAATACGAAAAAAAAAAAAAAAACGAAAAAACGCATACGAAAATTTCGGACTCAGCGTGCAAAGACGGTGCTGGAGTGGTGTTCGTGTCACTCACCACGGTGCGGTCAGTCCCATTTTTGTGAGCGCTCCATATTCTGTCCTGGGTGGTGTCAGACCAGTAAATACGATCCGTAACGGAGTCAAAATCCACTGCCACAATATTACGGCCATCACGCACTAGAGACCGAATAACGTTTGGCTGTGCGAGGATGTCGTCTGATACAATCTGATTCCGACTGGCCACTAAGAGCAAGGCCTCTCGAGATCCTGTCAGATTGAGAAAGAGAGAATAATGTCAAATATTATTACAGTTTTAAATAACTTTTTATATTAATATATTTTTAAATGTGTGTGTGTGTGTGTACATATATATATATATATATATATATATATATATAAAATTTTAAAAACAATATTTCTTATTTTACTATTTTGCAAATATCAGAATAATTGTAAAGTCATCAACTATAAAATAACTATGAAAGTATTACAATTATGAATTGACCAAAATGTCAAACAACATTTTGATGCTTATGATGATGCTTATAATTCACTATCCAGTCAAATTCATCCAATCTAATAAAACTTTAAATCAATTAGTTTTAAATCAATTATTTTTAATTAAAAAATAAATAAAACTTTTTGTAAATAAACTCAGATTCCAATCCTTCAAGCGTAATCCTTTAGATCAAAAGGTTTTCAACAATGATGAGAAACATAATTCAGTCAAGTGTGTCCAACTTTTGACTGGCAGTCAGTGTTTTGTAATTCATATTTGGCTCGCAATATGTGATTATAATTTAAAGTACACCGTTATCTCAAAATATATCAAATAACCAGGACTAGAAATGAATCCAAACACGTATCAGCTCTCAGTTATAAAACTATGCAAGACATATCTGACATGGCCAAATAGAAGTATAAAAAAAAGAGTCCCGTTGAAAAGCATCATTCAGAAAGAAGACGAGGTATATCGGATGACAGCATTTTTCACCAGGTTATCTCGAGGGAATGGACTCTAGTCAGCGGCAGAGCTCATAAACAACCCTTTGTTTGGTGATTACCACCTAATTACACCCTTAAGAAAGTTTGTGACTGACATATATGTTATTCATCTTATCTGTGGTAATCCAGAGGCTACACTAGACCCCGCTGAGCAGGTCCAGTTGGTGGCTCCACTCCACTAATATCTGTCTTAGCACTGTCAGAGATCACAAAGCTCAATGGAGACGCACAAACCTGAGGCCTTGCAGGTGCGTCCGTCTGCCTCTAGAGTGTATCCGTCCTGACAATGACAGCGGAAGGAGCCTCTCTCGTTGAAGCAGTGCTGACTGCAGACGCCCGGAGGATGGCACTCATCGATGTCCTCGCACGTCTTCGAGTCGTTAGTCAGCTGGAAGCCCATAGGACACGTGCACTGGGCTCCAAACGGGCCTTGGATGCAGCCGTGAGTGCAGCCCGCATTGTTATCCGAGCAGCTCTCCTGATCTATGAGGAAGCAGAAACATTTAGATGAATGACAATGGAAAGAAAAAGCATGCATGAAGACGCAAGGTATTCTGGGAACATGCTTAGCACATCCATTAAACGGGAGGAGTGCTAGGGCTGGGCAATATCTGTATATAAATCTGTGTATTTATACATTTAGTTTAAAATTGCCTAAAAGGTGTTTTGTTTTCATTCAGATGAACCATTTTTGTGCCCAAACAACCAGTTTAATATATTTTAAATGTTTAACAATAACAGTGTTATTATAGTTAACTAAAACCATGAAAAAAAAAATGTGTTACTTGAAATAAAATATTTTATTTACAAAAAATACATAAATAAAGAAGAGAAGAAAGAAGGGGGGAAAAACTTAAACATATTTTATTTCAGCTAGTTGCCAAGGAAATATTTCATTTAGTTTATCTTGATATACTAAAATAACCAAATGTAAAATAAAAATAAATATATTTTATATACATATTTTAAAAAAATTAATTAAATTCAAATTCAAATTTTAAAAGCGTAAAATATAAAACTAAAATGATTCAAACTATTAATAAAAAAGTCAGTAAGACTGATGCAAAAAGTACAATACAGTAAAAATTAGTTAATAATATCCAAGAAATCAGTTTTTCACTAAATTAATAATGAAGGAACCAAGATATTTTATTATTTTCATGTATATGCACCAAAAACCTATACACAGAAATGTAAAAACAGCAATATTTATCTACATATATTTATATTTCAAACATTTTAATATACCAAAAAAATGCCACATGGACAGTTTTGTGAAGTTTACTGATGGTACAAGTAAATTAATGAATCGGTTCGGCTTTTAGAAAAGAAATCAAGCTTACCAACTCTAATGTCATTTTTGTAACTTCAGTTCAAATAAGAGTTTAAAAACAAAAAGTGTTTGCAAAACTAATCTAATGACACTTTTAAGGAAACTTAATGTTCAAGTGCTAAAAAAGTGTATATTTTCACACAGATTAACCATTTTTGTGACCAAACAGCCATTTTTGCCAATTACATTAATGCAAGAAGTGAAATGCAGTAAAAAAATTAAGGCATGTTTTACACAGTTTTTCACTAAATAAAAAATGAAGGAAGAATAATATCGAATTATTTTCATGTATATGCACCAAAAAGCAATACATAGAAATAAACAGCAATAGCTATCTACATATATTTATATTAAAGCATTTTCATTAACAATTTTTTGTAAAAAGTCACATGTACAGTTTTGTGAACATTATTGATGGAGGAAACAAATCAATTAATTGGTTCGGCTATTGGAAAAGGAATCAAACTTACCAATTCTAATGTTGTTTTTGCTACTTAAGTTTCAATTACGAGTAATATTCATGATATTGCTTAATTTTTTTAATCACTGCAGATATATTGTGAATATTCAATATATTGCCCAGCCCTAATGTTTACTGTTGAAATCTAAGCTACTTTGGTGGTTGTGTACCATTTCTATGGACTAACACATGTAACATATTTCAAAAACAGAACTACACACTACATCTCTAAGTGTCTATAATGCTAAACACACACAATCTTGCCATATTTAGACACTCTGATCGTAATTGGACGGTTAGTGAGTACAGCCAGACAGATACTGGGATAGATTAGTGCTTCATGCAGAGGATTGTGGGTGATTAGGGATTTAGCCTACCTGGTAAAGGCTCATCTGTGAGAAGGGAGAGCAACATGGAAGGAAAATCACAGATCATTTCAATGTTAATTTCCAGATTAGCTAAACACATGCATGATTTGACACATGGGATTTATAACACAGACGACATACAGTACTGAAATACTCCATGTATTTGAATCAACTGACTGACCACAATATCAATAGAAATATTAAATATTTCAATGTAAATGAATGTTCTGGATTCAAGTTAAGCTCTAACAACAGCATTTGTAACATGAATGTGTAGCCAAACAACTGCTGGACCCCACTGGCATCCATAGTATGGGAAAAAATTCTAGAGAAGTTAATGGGGACCAGAAACTGTTAGGATTCCCACATTCTTCAAAATATCTTCTTTTACGTTCAACAGAAGAAAGAAACTCAAACAGGTTTGAAACAACTTAAGGGTGAGTAAATGATGACAGAATTTTCATTTTTGGGTGAACTATCCCTTTAAGAACACATTAAATTGATCAAAGGTGACAGTAAAGACATTAATAATGTTACCAAAGATTTCCATTTCAAATAAATGTTCTACTAATTTAAAAATCCTAGAAACAATGGTTTCCGCAAAAATATTAAGCAGCACAATTCTTTTTAACACTGATAATAATAAGAATAAATGTTTATTGAGCAGCAAATCAGCATATTAGAATGATTTCTGAAGGATCATGTGACACTGAAGACTGGAGTAATGATGCTGAAAATTCAGCTTTGCATCACAGAAATAAATTAGATTTTAAAATATATCCAAATAGAAAACAGCTGTTTTAAATTGTAATAATATTTCACAATTTTACTGTTTTTACTGTATTTTTGATCAAAGAAATGTAGCCTTGGTGAGACTTTTATTTTAAAACCCTTAAATAACAATGCCGCACCAAACTTTTGAACAGTACCGTACATGTCTTACATACTGCTGTAAATGTCAGTAAAACATATGGCATGACTTACTGCAGAGAGGGGATTCATCGGCGCCGTTGGGACAGTCTGGCGTGTTGTCGCACACCCTGCTGAGGTTAACACACACACTGTGTCCAGGGCACTGCCACTGCCAGCTGGGACAGCGGAACGGCGGCGTGGGACAGTCTCGCTCATCGCTGCCATCCCGACAGTCGTTATCACCGTCACATATCCAGCCACGGAAAACACAGTTCCCATTATCACAGCGGAACTGCGCGGTGGGGCACGTGCGCGGTGGGCACGCGTGGTGCTCGTCTGAGCCATCTTCACAGTCTGGGTGCCCATCACATTCCCAGTTTGAGGGAACACAACTGCCGTCTGACTGGCACTGGAACTCACTCTCGTGGTGACACATGCCAGGCGGCCTCGTGGCTGGAAGGGTCAAAGGTCGTGTTAGCTCAATTTAACATACATCATAATACAAGATTCCCGAGGTTTATAATTAATGTTCAATATAATGTTCTTAAAGATGATACAAGAAGATGTCCAGGTCATATTCCACTCAAAAAAATAATAATTACAATGATTAAATTAATCTTTAGCACATTTCTCCCTACATTTAATTAGTTTAATTCAAAACATTTTGTATCCTCAGTACTGTAGTATAAATAAATATAATAAATAAAATAATGTATTCATGCAGTATTTGTTGTATCATTTAATTTTAAATAAAAATGATATATATATATATTTTTTTTAAATTATAGCTACAGTACTTGTGTTATACAGTTAAAAAACAATTATAACAATGTAAATTTAATAAGAATTACCATTTAGAATAATGGTAATTTTAAATCTATAATTATAAAATAAAAATAAAAATGTAATGCGAAACATTTTGTATCCTCAGTACTGTACTGTAGTATAAATAAATGTAATGAATAAAATAATATATTCATGCAGTATTTGTTGTATCACTTTTATTTTAAATAAAAATTATATATTTTTTAAATTATTGCCACAGTACTTGTGTAAGACAGTTACAAAACAATTATAACAATGTAAATTTAATAAGAATCACCATTCAGAATAATGGAAATTTTAAATCTATAATTATAAAATAAAATAAAAATAAAAAAGACATCCAAAATAATGTCACATTGCAAAAACAATAATAATAATAGTATCTTTAGTATTAGATCTTTAGTTTGTAGGGTGAACAGTGACCTGGAAATGTTTTTGTGAGATTCACTCATTTATAAACTTTATATGTAATGCAAATAATGCATTATTGTTTATACTTACGACAGCCAGATTCATCCGAGCGATCGTTACAGTCAAACACCCCGTCACATCGGTAGTAGGAATTGACACACTGATGGCCGTTTGCACACTTAAACTCATACGCTGTGCAGTTGTACACTGATGACCAGAAGAACAAGAATCACTCAGATCAAGAAAAACAAGTCAGCAACTAAAAATCAGTTTGATCTGATTTAAACTTCCATAAGAGATTTTATTATACCGTTTATTTTGTGAAAGATTCTATGTATTCGTCTATTGGTGGGCATGTCTGGTTTATGTTGAAATAGTAGTTTGGGAAGAATTATAATGGTATTAACACACTTTTAATATATAAACCATTTTTATATAAACAATGTGGACCGTTACGATGAAATGCAATAAAAGAGTTTGGTCCTGCATGTAATGAACTCTTACCACAGCCCTGTTCATCCGCTCCATCTGCACAATCTCTGTCTCCATCACACACGTAATTGGGGTCAATGCAGCGGTGGTCCGGGCACTGGAACTGACCAGGGTGGCATGTGCCAATCGAATCTAGAAGAAGAGACACCATAAGAAAAGTCCATCGCGCAAAAGTTGCTCTTTCAAAGCTCGAGACTTAATGGGATTCTCAGTTACGTTTCATTCAGATGTTTAAAAATAAAAATAGACACTAAGTCTTCACAAGAATATACAGTGGAATATGAACAGCACAAAGCTCAGCTCATTTGGTATTGGTACAGAATTTGATAAGAAATATTTTAGTTCATTTTGAGATCTGACTTTTTTATATATATGTATGTATATATGAAGAGTTTGGTTCCAAAACGCTATAAATCCATTTTGATTAATTTGAGTAAAAATGTGTTTTCTTTACCAAGAAAGTGGCAAGATGAAAACCACTATTTTCTGTTTC